TTGGTTGGATTTTCTTAAACTGGTTTTAGCTTGATTTTACTGTATTTCTTTTTATTTATTTATTATAATTAATTGGATTGTTTGCATCATTGTCTGTTCATTGCAGCTTGAACAGCACTTTGTAAACCTTGTTTTTTAAAGTGCTTTATAAAGAAAGATGTATTATTATTATCGTATCATGTCTATGTATCAAGTTATGTATCGTATTGTGGCCTATGTATCGAAGTATGTATTGTATCATGTCTATGTATCAAGTTATGTATCGTATCGTGGCCTATGTATCGAGATATGTATCGTATCGTTGCCTTTGTATTGAGGTATGCATCGTATCATGTCTATGTATCGATTTATGTATCGTATCATGTCTATGTATCAAGTTATGTATCGTATCGTAGCCTATGTATCGAAGTATGTATCGTATCGTAGCCTATGTATCGAGTTATGTATCGTATCGTGGCCTATGTATCGAAGTATGTATTGTATCATGTCTATGTATCAAGTTATGTATCGTATCGTGGCCTATGTATCGAGATATGTATCGTATCGTTGCCTTTGTATTGAGGTATGCATCGTATCATGTCTATGTATCGAAGTATGTATCGTATCATGTCTATGTATCAAGTTATGTATCGTATCGTGGCCTATGTATCGAGATATGTATCGTATCGTGGCCTATGTATCGAGTTATGTATCGTATCGTGGCCTATGTATCGAAGTATGTATCGTATCGTGGCCTATGTATCGAGGTATGTATCATATCGTGGCCTATGTATCGAGTTATGTATCGTATCGTGGCCTATGTATCGAGGTATGTATCGTATCATGTCTATGTATCGAGTTATGTATCGTATCGTAGCCTATGTATCGAAGTATGTATCGTATCGTGGCCTATGTATCGAAGTATGTATCGTATCGTGGTCTATGTATCGAAGTATGTATCGTATCGTGGTCTATGTATCGAGGTATGTATCATATCGTGGCCTATGTATCGAGTTATGTATCATATCGTGGCCTATGTATCGAGGTATGTATCGTATGTATCATGTATCATGTCTATGTATCGAGTTATGTATCGTATCGTAGCCTATGTATCGAAGTATGTATCGTATCGTGGCCTATGTATCGAAGTATGTATCGTATCATGTCTATGTATCAAGTTATGTATCGTATCGTGGCCTATGTATCGAGATATGTATCGTATCGTTGCCTTTGTATTGAGGTATGCATCGTATCATGTCTATGTATCGAGTTATGTATCGTATCATGTCTATGTATCAAGTTATGTATCGTATCGTGGTCTATGTATCGAAGTATGTATCGTATCGTATGTATCTTATGTATCGTATCGTAGCCTATGTATCGAAGTATGTATCGTATCGTGGTCTATGTATCAAGTTATGTATCGTATCGTGGTCTATGTATCGAAGTATGTATCGTATCGTGTCTATGTATCATGTTATGTATCGTATCGTGGTCTATGTATCGAAGTATGTATCGTATCGTGGTCTATGTATCAAGTTATGTATCGTATCGTAGCCTATGTATCGAGGTATGTATCGTATCGTGGCCTGTGTATCGAGATATGTATCGTATCGTGGCCTATGTATCAAGTTATGTATCGTATCGTGGCCTATGTATCGAGGTATGTATCGTATCATGTCTATGTATCAAGTTATGTATCGTATCGTAGCCTATGTATCGAAGTATGTATCGTATCGTGGCCTATGTATCGAAGTATGTATCGTATCGTGGTCTATGTATCGAAGTATGTATCGTATCATGTCTATGTATCAAGTTATGTATCGTGGCCTATGTATCAAGTTATGTATCGTATCGTGGCCTGTGTATCGAGGTATGTATCGTATCGTGGACTATGTATCGAGGTATGTAGCATATCGTGGCCTATGTATCAAGTTATGTATCGTATCGTGGCCTATGTATCGAGTTATGTATCGTATCGTGGCCTGTGTATCGAGGTATGTATCGTATCGTGGACTATGTGTCGAGGTATGTATCGTATCGTGGCCTATGTATCGAGATATGTATCGTATCGTGGCCTATGTATCGAGGTATGTATCGTATCGTGGCCTATGTATCGAGATATGTATCGTATCGTGGCCTATATATCGAGATATGTATCGTATCGTGGCCTACATATCGAGGTATGTATCGTATCGGCAAATTCTTAATGATTCCCAGCTCTATTAGCCACTTATCGTTTACAAATAAATCACATTCTCTCCCGACGGATTAAGACTTTTTCACAGAAGTTTTTTACACTAAACTATCGCTTGAAAAACATGAATTGTTACTGATCAAATTGAAGCTGCATCTCCACAGATCTGACCTGTAACTCGGCTGCTCTTCTCTGTAGAAACAGAAAAGTTTAACACAACAGGCCTCTGCGGAATATCACATGCAAAGCAGCAGGATTTCCATGTTTGATAGTCAAATTTGTTCCTCCAAATTTTGCACTCTGCTCTTCTCTCAAACAAAAAACTCTCTGTTCCACCCTGTGATGTCATGTCTTAATACAGGAAGTGCTCCACTGTGTTTTTAAACTCCACACACCTTCACCAGAATCATTTGGATGATTTCAGTTCTTGGAATTGCAAACCTCTACTAAACAAAAAGTGAAACGTGAAAACTACTGCATCATTTGGAGCTGCAGACAGACCAATACTTTATTTATTTATTTATTTATTTAGTGCTCATGCTGTTATTTTGTTGGCATCAATTTAAAAAGAACAACAACAACAAATCCAACAATTAACACCCAATATATATATAATAAGGGATTACTCAAAAAAACATGTGTGAATGAAACAAAACACAACACCAAGTACACCAGGTAACTATATTATAACTAGGGCTGTGAATCATTCAGAAGTTGCCGATACGATACGATACATATCTCGATACAGTGAGCTTACGATTCGATACGGTTCAATAAAAATAAAGTCTAAATCATGTCTGTGATACTAAAAGTCTTTGAGCACTTCTTGTGCAAAGTTCATACGAAACACAAACATTTTACTCATCATAACTGTGAAAATGTCAAACGTGTCGCATGAATGAGTTTCCTTCCTCTGAACAAGCAACAAAACCGTAGCTGTGACAAAATAATTTAGTAAAACATACCAAAAAATACTTATATATATATATGTATATACAGCGATTAGGGATGTAACAATTGCTTCCTTTGCTTCAGTTCCTTTGACGCACGGTTTTATAGTAGCAACAGCTTGTAAACATCGGTAACTACATCTCCCATGATTCATTTCAGCGCAAACGTGAAGAAATCTGTTTTTGACTTGAACTCTTGGGATTATGACGGAAATAATTTGCACCAAAATCTTGTCAAGGCATTTTAAAAGTAAAAAAAGTCAACAATTACATTAGCCTCTCCAAAATATCGCAATAAATATCGTACCGAGAGATGCATATCGTGGTAATATCGTACAGAGAGATTCGGATATTGTTACATTCCTATCCTATATATCGATACAGCAGCCCACGATATCGATCCTGTATCATCACATTAAACAATACAATACTAAAAGTCTTTGTTAAACCACTTCTTATGCAAAGTTCATATGAAACACAAACATTTTAATCATCAAAACAGTGAAAATATCAAATGTGTCGCATAAACGAGTTTCCTTCCTTTGAACAAGCAACACAACTGTAGCTGTGACAAAATAATTGAGTTAAATCTAAATATCGTGATACTGTATAGTCAAAAGTCTCAAGAATAATATCATGAACCATCACAATATATCGAATTACAAGTTCCTTTGCTTAAATTCATGGTTTTATAGTAGCAACAGCTTTTAAACATCAGAAACTACATCTCCCATGATTCATTTCAGCGCAAACATGAAGAAATACGTTTTTGACTTGAATTCTTGGGATTATGACGGAAAAAATTCGCACCAAAATCTTCTCAAGGTATTTCAAACGCAAAAAAACCCATCCTATTTACAATAATATCAACCTCTCCAATATAAATATCGTACGGTGAGATGCATATCGTGATAATATCGTCCAGAGAGATTCGGATATCGTTACATCCCTAATCACGATACATCGATATTTCAATATTTTTGCAGACGCCTAACTATTTAGTTGTTTCTTTATTTACGTATTTATTTCTGATGCTATTATTTTGTTGGCATCAATTTAAAACGAACGACGACAACAAAAACTGAGAATTAACATAAATACTTAATAAAGGAAAACTCAAAAAACACGCGTGAAAGAAACAAAACATAACACGAAGTATGTTTTTGAGGCGGTAACTATATTATAACATGTCTTAAATCTCAAAAGAGTAAATTTGCGTAATATAGGAGCTTAAATTCTTGCACTAAAATGCTTTCCCTTTCGCCTGGAGGCCTAATCACTGCATTAAAGCGTTAAAAACAAACAATATTCGCTTTTTTGGCATTGCACTGTCCAAACCCGGAGACTAAAACGTGGGAATTGTGCAAAAAGTGTCTTACGATCGGCCAAACTCGGTGCTAACATCGCTGACATGCACACGTAGAGAGAGACTCGAGTGCTGGGACTGGCAGCGAAATGCAACTTATTCCCGAAGCTCCGGCGCTGAGATTCGGGCGTTTATTTGGGGCACTTTTTTTTTTTTTAACGCAGCGCCCGCATCCCAAGTGTGCGCGCGTCGGGATGGAGACGTGCAGCTACGTGACGGGACAGGTGACTGATTGCAGGCTCACCCGAACAGGAAGTGCTCCAAAAAAACAAAAAAAACTTAAAAAAAAACCCACGTCCAGCTGCTAAACCAAACCTGGAGGAAGCTAATGCTAAGCTAACCACAACACTCGGGAAGCGCAGGGTTTGGAGCGGCGGGGTTAGCCTCCCCGTTAGCACCGCGGCCGAACGGAGAGATTTACAAAAGCGGTGCGGCGTGTTTGCGGATATACGAAGCGGATACGGTGTTAGAAGTGCGCGTGTGGTGCGTGAAAGAGCTGTCAGCTTACAGTTCGGGAGCGCAGAGGAGTTTCGCCGCTGTGACGGGACTCGGAGCGAAGAGCGTGAGTGAGAGATGGATCAGTGCGCACGCCTTCCTGGAGAGTCAGCCCCACGCGCATGCGCACTGCTCATTACTACTTTTAATTCATTTATTTGATGTTATTTTATTTATTTATAATGCATATATACAATGTGGATTAGAACAGTGTTTCCCAAACTTTTTTCTGGGGACCCATGTTTTAAAAGTCACAAACCTTCATGACCCAAGTCAATCAACATTATTCATAAATCACAAAATAAAAGTGGATTTGAACATTATTGAACATTAATGAGTATGTTTTATTGCTGATCATGTCTCTCTGAAGAATTAGTTTTACTCAAGTTTTAAACAATGAAAAAAGTCACTGAAGCAGCAATAAAAGGATCCAGAAGTCAAATATTTGGACATTAAACGTAGAACATTTCTTTTTCTTTTTAACATTCATTTGAGTGAGTTTCCTCCGCAGAGTGTCTGGGTGCTCCCTTAGAGATCGGGTGAGGAGCTCAGTCACACGTGAGGAGCTCAGAGTAGAGTGGCTGCTCCTCCACGTGGAGAGGAGCAGCTGAGGGGAGGATATCTGTGATGTCTCCCTCAGGAGGTGTTCATGTCCCTCAGGGAGGAGGCTCCAGGGAAGACCCAGGACACGCTGGAGGATGGATGAACATTCAATTGAACCAGCAATATTGCAACAAAATAGTCTGTAGAAGTGTAGATGTGTAGATGACAGACAGACATACAGATCGTCACAAGGCAACATAAAAAAAATCTCTTGCGACTCACCTGAGGGTCGAGACGCAAACAATGACTTAGAACAGGATCACCGAACTTTTTTCTCTGGGGGGCACATTATCACTCCTGACTGTGATGGAGTCGGGGTCGAGTCGGTCGTAGAACAGAATTGTTTGACCCTGACGACGTAGATTATATTCTTTGAAAACCTCCACAGTTTCTTTACACATCAGACAAACTGCAGGCTCCAAACACTGAACACAAAAACAATCGGTCGTTCACTGTTCTTTGAAAACTTTGTTTTTCTCTTTGTTTTTCAGTGCGTACTCAGACAAAAATCTGTGACTTTGAGGTGACTATTCATAATAAGAAAATCCAAACACTCAGTGACGTTCAATTCCTTGGCCTCATAAAATACTGAAGAAGTGAAGAAGATTAAAACTATTCTCAATAGACTCTTTTGGCTATGTTGCTAAAGTGCATGTCTTATGTCTGAGCAGCAGTGAGTTGTTCTTCCTGATAGAAAGCTCAGCGGCAGTGGACTGATATATGAGAAAATAGTCCCTCAACATGCGACGATTCATGTGACACAAGGTTAGTTTTATTTCAAACATTATTCTATGGACACAGACATTCACATGGACAGTCTGGTGTAATAATAGATTTGTTTCAGGTGTTTTGTGAAGTGGGTAAGACTGTTTTTAGTGGCACCAGTGACCTCTGCAAATACAAAGACTGGATGGAATATTTCAAAAAGTGTCTCCACACGTCTCCAACACTCTGGATCACGAGGAAATGAGGCCCTATGTCCAAAAACATTAAATTTATTGTATGTTTCAAACCAAAAATGGACTCATCTCATCTATCTGTATATAACTTATGTGTCTCATCTGTTTTTATATGTGTATTTTATTTTATTTTTTTACAGACAGGTGTTGAAAATTACAACTTGTACTGAAACACACACACTCTCAATGCATCTGACTTTACAGGTGGTTTTAAAGCTCAAAAATACCTCGAAAAACAGGCTTTCTGACCGTGAGCGAGGTGCCTCTCCACAGATCTGACCTGGAACCTGGACCCTCCGCTAGAAAAGTTACACAGTGCACCTTTAAAAAAATAAAATAAAATAAGACAAGAAGCACGACCAGTAACTCTTCACACTGTTATAAATATTTTAATTCACAAAAAAACACTGTGAAATGTCGTTAATTACACAGTTCTGCAGATTTACAATATTCTACACAGCACAAGTCTAAAAATTTCAGCAGTTTTTTTTATATTTTTTAATTTCTGTAGACGTTTAGTTTGAGTTTAAACGACAAGATTACAACACAAACATGAGAAACTGAACGTGAGGGTGAATATTCTTTTAAAAACAGACGTGAAATTTTCTGAAAAAGAACGAAAAATATAAAAAACACACCCGTCATGATAAAGAATTATACTGAAATCATCACGCTGGAGGTGTTCTGCATGTACGTCTAGGGTGGAATGTTCAGCAGTGACCACACACCAAAAACTGGAGGGTTAACATTTCAGGGTAAAATATTTCAGAGTTGTTTTTATCACAAAAAGTCTTATTTTAACTATTTGAAAGTTAAATTGAGTTGAGTTGATTTGATTGAATTTAACTTCTCTTGGTGTTAATTTGGCTCCTCCCACCACCACTTCAAACTCCAAATAAAAAACTGACATCTCCAGTTGTTGTTTTTTTTTGGTGGTTGATAATAATAAAATTGGGAAATGAGTGTGTAATTAAGGAAAATTGTTACGCAGGTTTTGTCACATTTTTGTTGTGTTTTGGTCGTTTTTAAGCAGATTTTCTGTATTTTACCGACACAAATTACAATTTATGCCATGTTATTGGGTTCTTTTTTTCAGACCTAGAGTGTTATTTCATACCTGACAGTTTGCAGTGAGCAGTCGAAACTGTCAGGTATGAAATAACACTCTAGGTCTGAAAAAAAGAACCTAATAACATAGAATATCGGAAGACCAAATGAATCTCATTGGACTACAATTTATGCCTCTTTTTACTGTTGGCAGGGATCAGATTAGTGTCAAAATTGGTCAAAAATAGGGACAACCGGGACAAATCACTGTTTTTGGGGTAAATCTGCTGGGACAGGGGACACGGGGCTCAAAACTGGGACTGTCCCGAGTAAATAGAGACGTCTGGACTGATCAAAAGTTAATCGTCAAAAGATCAAGAAACTGAGAGTCCTTGAATGGAGCACTTATGATCATTATTAAGAAGAAGAGTGACGTATGTTATGCACCAAATCCCGTAGGAAGAAGAACAATAACGTCTTTCCCCTTGATAAAATTCACCAAACATTCTCTTTGTTCCGCCTTTAACATGTCAAACTCAGGCCCAGGGGCTAAATTTGGCCCGCGATATAATTACATTTGGCCCGTAAGATCATCTCAAATTTGTATTAGAGCTGCCCGTGACTACAGATCAATTATAGAAACATTTATTTATTTGAAATTTTGTTATTATTTTATATTCTGTTTGTTCTGGATTCAGTGTTTAAGCAAAACTATTATTAAACATTTATTTGAATAAGAAAAGAAGAGAAAACATGCAGATATTGTTGAAATTTTTCTGTAAATATTGAGTTTGGGCCACGACTTAGTCCCTGTTTTTAATTTTGGCCCAACGTGAATTTGAGTTTGACACCGCTGCACTAGACAAAGCAATAACATTTCCAAAGAGACAAGTCGGTAGTGAACCTTGGACCAGAAAAGTTGCGCAGTGCAGCTTTAGCAAATAATTTTCCAAAAAGGATGAACACAGGTGAATCCAGAGAAATGTACAGACGATCGGGGATCCGTGGACAAAAGAGGTACAGTGTTATAAGTGCTACTAAAACATATTTACACGTAAGACTCACTGGAAAAATGTGAAGTTTTCATTTGTGTACGTACTTTTATTTACACTTTTTGCTTCGTGGGAAAGAGGAAAAGTCCCAGAGTCCAGTCCGGCGACGCGTTCAAGGCTCAGTTCAGAGTGGGACGTGACGCTTTCCAAAGAGTTTGCATAGAAAAATCTCAAGTGGAATTCCGTTTTAAGTCTTTTTAAGGGTTCGTTTTGAAGACGCTGCAAACGGAAGTGGGTTTGGAAACGTTTTTTTGGTGTGTTTTTTTTTATCGAAACAAATCTACAGTCAGTTAAATCACAACTTTTATCTCATTCACTCGAAAATAATAAATAAAACTAGTTACAAATTGTGTTTACAACAGTCGCAGGTTCAGAAATAAAAAAGAAATGGACCTTCACTTCAGAAACTCCTTCAAAAAAACTGCTCAATTCAACAACGGTTTGATGAGTTAAATCTGTGTGTCGTTTGTTCATTCGTTTTTCAAAATAAAACCAAAAATAAGAAAATGAAAAAACAACAATTTTCTTCATTATTTGTCTCCAAAACCAAAATGAAAAAACAAATGATTCGTTATTTTCAGTTTTTGATTTTGTGTTTAAATGAAAAATGGAAAAAACGGATAATGGACTAAACCAGGACTGAACCAGAACTAAACCAGACCGGAGCTAGACCGGAACTGAGACCAGGACTGAGACTGGGACCAGGACCAGAACTGAGACCAGGACTGAGACTGGGACCAGGACCAGAACTGAGACCAAGACTAAGACCAGGACCAGACTAAGACTGAACCCGGCAACAGGACCAGGACTGAGACCGGAACTGAGACTGGGACCAGACTGGGACTGAAACCAGGACTGAGACCAGGACTGAGACCGAAACTGGGACCGGGAGTGAGACCAGGACCAGACCGGGACTGAGACCAGGACTGAGGCCGGGACCAGATCAGGACCAGGCCATGACTGAGATCGGGACTGAGACCGGGTCTGAGACCGGGACTAGACTGGGACTGAGACCAGAACTGAGATCGGGCCTGAGACTGGGACCAGACTGGGACTGAGAGCGGGACCAGGCCGGGACCAGAATGGGACTGAGACCAGGACTGAGACTAGGACTGAGATCGGGAACAGGACCTGGACTGAGACCGGGACTGAGATTGGGACCACACTGGGACTGAGACCAAGACCAGACCAGGAGCAGGCCAAGATTGAGACCAGGACTGAGATCAGGACTGAGACCAGGACCGCTCAGGACTGAAAACGGTTTAGTCCTGTTTTAGTCCTGGTTCAGTCCTGGTTTAGTCCTGGTTTAGTCCTGGTTTAGTCCTGGTTTAGTCCTGGTTTAGTCCTGGTTTAGTCCTGGTTCAGTCCTGGTTCAGTCCTGGTTTAGTCCAGCATCACAATTTAAGTCACGTAAACAGGAAACGGTCGTTATCCGTTTTTTTTTCCATTTTTCATTTAAACACAAAATTGAAAAACTGAAAAAACAAATCATTATCTGTTTTTTCATTTTGGTTTTGGAGACAAATAATGAAGAATATTGTTGTTTTTTTCATTTCCTTATTTTTGGTTTTAATTTGAAAAACGAGTGAACGAACGACACACGGATTCAGAGCTGTGACGTATCCATAGAAACAAGCAGGTGACGGACCTAGAAACCAAAAAGCTACACAGTGCACCTTTAACTAAAACTATTTTGGCTTTAATATTTTCAAAAACTTGCAAACCTTGTGTCAATGCAGATACTAAATAAGAAGACAGAAGAAAATTGCTAAAAATAAATAAATAAATGTCCGAGAAACCAGAAAACAGAGGTAAACTTTGAAATAAAATTGTACTTCTATGAGAATCGTTTTCAGACTTAATATTTAACTCAAATTTATCTCGTTTTTTTTCAGTTTTACCCTAGATTTTGTGCATTATTTTTCAGTTTTTGTCCTTTGTCCTAGACTGAAAATTTCTCAAATTTATTATTAACTTACTCGTTCTGAGATGGCGTAATTCTACACAGCAAAAACTGGAGGGTTAAAATTTCAGAGTAAAATATTTCAGAGTTGTTTTTAGCACAAAAAGTGTTAATTTAACTATCTGAAAGTTAAATAGGGGTTTGAGTTATTTAGTTATTTGCCAGAGTTGATATGTTTGGAGTGAATTCAACTTCCTTTAGAGTTAATTCAACTTTTCTTAGTGTTAATTCAACTTCTCTTAGTGTTAATTCAAAGTTTTTCTTAGTGTTAATTCAACTTCCACTAGTGTTATTTCAACTTTTCTTAATCAATTTAACTTGCTCTAGTGTTAATTCAACTTTTATTAGTGTTAATTCAACTTTTATTAGTGTTAATTCAACTTCTCTTAGTGTTAATTTGGCTCCTTCCACCCATCACTTCAAACTCTGCCAAGTTTGAACCAGTTTTGTTCATAATTTCATCTCAAATTAAATCAAATAAAGTGTAAAAATCAAACTCCTCTATGTGTTATTTAGTTAAATCAGGATAACTCTACAAAGTGTTATCCGTTTACTCTCAAAACGTTCATATAACACTTGATTTCGGGGTTAAACATGAAACTTTGATCTAGTGTTACTTAATTAACATTTCCAAAACATTTTGTTAAAAATGTTAAAGTTGATTCAGTGAGAGTCAATTTTAACTCTCCACTTTTTTAGTCAAGAATAGATCATTTTAATTATTTACAATTATTTTTGTTGCATGGACGGATAATTTCACAACGTTTAAGTCATTTTCTGATCGATTTAAGTGTTAATATTTTCAATTTTGGCCAAGCTTTTTTAACTTTTACTTGAGTAATTTCTCGGACCACTGCTTTTTACTTCTACTTGAGTAATATCGAACGACTTTTACAACTTTTGGCTACTCTACGACTACGATTTCTGCCAGATTTTTGTGCAGAATAAAGAAACAGAGACGTGATTATATTTTGAATGTTCTACTAACAGTCTGTGAAGGTTTTTAAAGGGTGTGGCCTTTTCGTGAGGGACTCAGGGCTTTTTACAAATACAAAAACTCTACTAATGTACATCACCTTTTATTTACACTGAGTTATAACGTCTGTGTCCCAAGCTCGATTTCTATACATGCATCCCCAATTTTGGACCGTTCATCGCGCAATCCACACTGGGAAAGGTCGTCCGAAAAAGTGAGCATCAAACCGTCATGTTTGTTTTTCCAGTGGGATGTGTTTATAGTCAAAGTCGATCTTTTCTCGTCTTTTGAACCATATCACTTTTGTTTCTGGTTGTGATATTGTCATATTTTAGTTTTGGGATTCGGACGTCGTAATTGTGTGGTTTTTGGATCCTAACAGCGGAAAACGGGCTTAGAAAGTTTGCGAACTTTGAATAAAAGAATCAATTACAATGATGGCATTTAAAAAACAAATTAAATCGAATGCAATGTGTATGTATGAAAAAGAAAACTAAGTTGTTGTGCATAATACTGCGGAAACAGCGGAAAATGGTTAGAGAAATTAGCTTCGGAAGTTTGCGAACTCCATAAATGCAAAAGTGAATCAGATGTGTGTGACTCAAACCTCTGTTCAAACTGTTTCTCTTCCCAACGGAATTGGAAAATAGTGAAAGGTGAAGGTGATGGGCAGGATTGATCCACAGGAAGAACCAAAAAGGAAACATCTGACTGCCGAAGAAATCATCCTGAGTTTGCAGAGAACATTTTGTATGTGGAGCATCAACAATCTCTCGCCAACGATCCATTGCTCAACCTTGTTTACGAATTTAAAAAGTCAACGCCAAAGTGAAAGGCTCCAACTGTTCACCAGGAAACACCTTCCACTGCAAAGAGACCAAGACGTGATGTTGCTGTAAAACCACAAGAACAAGAAAGTGCAGCTCAGTCTGTTTGTCTTCTGCTCCTCTACATTAACAAACGGGATTTTGTTTTGTTGTCGCTCCACATACAAAATGTTCTCTGCAAACTCAAGGATGATTTCTTCGGCAGTCAGATGTTTCCTTTTTGGTTCTTCCTGTGGATCAATCCTGCCCATCACCTTCACCTTTCACTATTTTTCAATTCTGTTGGGAAGAGAAACAGTTTGAACGGAGGTTTGCAGTCACACACATCTGATTCACTTTTACATTTATGGAGTTCGCAAACTTCCGAAGTTCATTTCTCGAGCCGTTTTCCGCTGTTAGGATCCAACAATCACACACTTACGATGTCCGAATCCCAAAACTAAAATATGACAATATCAGAACTAGAAACAAAAGTGATATGGTTCAAAAGACTTGAAAATATCGACTTTGTCAATAGACTCATCCCACTGGGAAAACAAACATGACGGTTTGACGCTCACTTTTTTGGACGACCCTTCCCAGTATGCATTGCGCGATGGCTGGAAGTCCGAAATTCGGGATGCATGTATACTAAGGAACAGACTTGATACTCAAAACTGATTCTGACACATTGATAATAATAAAAAAAAAAAAAAAAACACTTTTCAATTTTCAATGTTAAATCTTAGTTTCTTTGTGATTTCTTTGCGGTTTTACGTCTGTGGTCCACCTAAGTTCCGTAAATCTGGTGTTAAACCTGTTCTGAAAGCTCCGGATCATTCTAAAGGTTAATTTCTGTCCCTTAAATGTGACATTTTAGTATCGATACCTGCGAAAAATGAGGATCTAGTTTCGATACCAGTTTCAGCATCGATTAGATTTCCGATACTTCTGATGACCCTTTAGTCTGTGGTGTGGCGTTCAGTTACACTTCGGTGCTCACGGCCCTGGTGTTGGTGTAAAACTCCGCCGGCGGACTCCAGGGGGCGCTCCTCAGCATGGCGCCGCCTCTCCCCGGCGGTGCGGCGGGAAGGGGCGGGGCCAGGGCGGGGTTCTCGTAGTGGGTGGGCATGTAGGTGACGCGCTCGCCGCCGTTGCGCGTGTCGTCCGTGGTGCGTACGTAGAAGGGCGAGCGGTACGGCGAGCAGGAGGGGCAGTACCGCGGGCGTCCAGCGGGGGGCTTGGCGGGGGCGGCGGGCGGCTCCGGGGGCGACAGGGACAGGGGCGTGCACACCGAGTCCAGACCCGAGACGGAGCACGCGTTACAGGCGAAGTGCTGCTGGGACAGAGAGCCGCTGTCCGAGCCATTGGACTTACAGCAGTAGTACTACGAGTACACAGAGTACACACAGTACACAAGAGTACACACAGTACACAAGAGTACATAAGAGTACACAAGAGTACATACAGAGTACACAAGAGTACACAGGTTAGACACAGGCAAATACTGTCATCAGTGTTAAGAAGTAACTAAGTACAGGAAGCATAAATACATATTAGGGCTGCTAGTGATAGTAGTAGTAGTAGTAGCAGTAGTAGTAGTAGTAGTAGTAGTAGTAGTAGTAGTAGTAGTAGTATTTATAGTATTATATAAAAGTACCTGGAGTCTACAGTAGCAGCAGCAGTAGTAGTAGTAGTAGTAGTATTTATAGTAGTAAAAGTACCTGGAGTCTACAGTAGCAGTAGCAGTAGTAGTAGTAGTAGTAGTATTTATAGTAGTAAAAGTACCTGGAGTCTACAGTAGCAGCAGCAGTAGTAGTAGTAGTAGTAGTATTTATAGTAGTAAAAGTACCTGGAGTCTACAGCAGGAGTAGTAGTAGTAGTAGTATTTATAGTAGTAGTAACAGTACCTGGAGTCTACAGTAGCAGTAGTATTAGTAGTAGTAGTAGCAGTAAAAGTACCTGGAGTCTACAGTAGCAGTAAGTAGTAGTAGTAGCAGTAAAAGTACCTGGAGTCTACAGTAGCAGTAGCAGTAGTAGTAGCAGTAGTAGTAGTAGTATTTATTGTAAAAGTACCTGGAGTCTACAGTAGCAGAGCACAGCGATGATACACAGCAGAATCACTGTGGCCAGAATTCCTCCGGTGATCACGACTGTTCCCGCTGTCATCCGACCAGCTCCCCATCAAACTCTGAAAAATATAAATAAAAAATATTAAATATAAAATAAAATAATAAAAAACAGCTCCCCATCAAACTCTGAAAAATATAAATAAAAAATATTAAATATAAAATAAAATAATAAAAACAGCTCCCCATCAAACTCTGAAAAATATAAATAAAAAATATTAAATATTAAATCAAATAATAAAAACAGCTCCCCATCAAACTCTGAAAAATATAAATAAAAAAATATTAAATATAAAATAATAATAATCAAAAAACAGCTCCCCATCAAACTCTACAAATATAAATAAAAAATATTAAACATAAAATAATAATCATCAAAAAACAGCTCCCCATCAAACTCTGAAAAATATAAATAAAAAATATTAAATATAAAATAATAATAATAATCAAAAAACAGCTCCCCATCAAACTCTGAAAAATATAAATAAAAAATATTAAATATAAAATAATAATAATAATCAAAAAACAGCTCCCCATCAAACTCTGAAAAATATAAATAAAAAAATATTAAATATAAAATTATAATAATCAAAAAACAGCTCCCCATCAAACTCTACAAATATAAATAAAAAATATTAAACATAAAATAATAATCATCAAAAAACAGCTCCCCATCAAACTCTGAAAAATATAAATAAAAAATATAAAATATAAAATAATAATAATCAAAAAACAGCTCCCCATCAAACTCTGAAAAATATAAATAAAAAATATTAAATATAAAATAATAATAATCAAAAAAACAGCTCCCCATCAAACTCTGAAAAATATAAATAAAAAATATTAAAATATAAAATAATAATAATCAAAAAACAGCTCCCCATCAAACTCTGAAAAATATAAATAAAAATATAAAATATAAAATAATAATAATCAAAAACAGCTCCCCATCAAACTCTGAAAAATATAAATAAAAATATTAAATATAAAATAATAATAATAAAAAAACAGCTCCCCATCAAACTCTGAAAAATATAAATAAAAAATATTAAATATAAAATAGTAATCAAAAAACAGCTCCCCATCAAACTCTGAAAAATATAAATAAAAATATTAAATATAAAATAAAATAATAAAAACAGCTCCCCATCAAACTCTGAAAAATACAAATAAAAAATATAAAATATAAATTAAAATAATAAAAAAACCCAAACAGCTCCCCATCAAACTCCGAAAAATATAAATAAAAAAATATTAAATATTAAATAATAAAAAACAGCTCCCCATCAAACTCTGAAAAATACAAATAAAAAATATTAAATATAAAATAAAATATTAAAAAACAGCTCCCCATCAAACTCTGAAAAATATAAATAAAAAATATTAAATATAAATTAAAATAATAATTAAAAAAAAAACAGCTCCCCATCAAACTCTGAAAAATATAAATAAAAAAATATTAAATATTAAATAAAATAATAAAAAAACAGCTCCACATCAAACTCTACAAATATATACAAAAATATAAAATATAAAATAAAATAATTAAAAAACAGCTCCCCATCAAACTCTACAAATATATACAAAAAAATAAAAAATAAAATAAAAATAATAAAAAACAGCTCCCCATCAAACTCTACAAATATATACAAAAATATTAAATATAAAATAATAAAAAACAAAACATCTCCCCACCAAACTCTACAAATAAAAAATAAAATAAAATAAAATCAATAAATAAAAATAAAAAACAGCTCCCCATCATATTCTACAAAAGAAATCAATAAAATAATATAATACAAAACATCTGCATCTCCATCAAACTCCACAAAAGTCACTGTGTTGAAATATAAATGAAGTGTCTTGCCCAGGGACACAATAACAGCACATACTTCTCCAAGAATTGAACCACCCACCTTCAGTCAACTATAACAAACACAAACTGCACAAACGTCAGATACTCACGTTCAGTAAAGTTGCTTAACACCTGAAAGAGGAAAAACAATTTAGTATATATGTTTATTTTTTTATAGTTTAGAAAATATGTGTATTAATAATTAATGGTGACATTATTACTGACATCAGAAGAGTGTCCAGAGGCGGAGGGGTGAAGGTCAAAGGTCAAACTTCAAAGGTCACTCCTCTGCAGCACATCTCTGAGAAGAAGAAGAAGAAAGAACAGAGCGTAAAAGCACAGACAGGTGCAGTACTAGAGTTTGTCCACAAGATGCTGCTGTAACGTAACGCAGCAAACCAGACACGGCGCAGCTCTAACCTGGAGTCTATAGTAGTAGTAGTAGTAGTAATAAGTAGTCTATAATAGTAGTAGTGAATATAAATAGTAGTAGTAGAATTGTTCAGTATATAACAAACCCTGCACAAAGTAGTATAGTAGTAAAGTAACACCTGAAAGAGGAAAAACAATTTAGTATATAGTTTATTTTTTATAGTTTAGAAAATATGTGTATTAATATTTAATGGTGACATTATTACTGACATCAGAAGAGTGTCCAGAGGCGGAGGGGTGAAGGTCAAAGGTCAAATTCAAAGGTCACTCCTCTGCAGCACATCTCTGAGAAGAAGAAGAAGAAAGAACAGAGCGTAAAAGCACAGACAGGTGCAGTACTAGAGTTTGTCCACAAGTGCTGAAACGTAACGCAGCAAACCAGACACGTAGTAGTAGTAATTAGTAAAAGTAGTAGCAGTAGTAGTAGTAGTAGTAGTAGTGTAGTAGTAGTAGTAGTAGTAGTAGTAGTATAATAGTAGTATAAAAGTACCTGGAGTCTACAGTAGCAGTAGTAGTAGTAGTAGCAGTAGTAGTAGTAGTAGTAGTAGTAGTAGTAGTAGTAGTAGTAGTAGTAGTAGTAGTAGTATAGTAGTATAATAGTATGAAAGTACCTGGAGTCTACAGTAGCAGTAGTAGCAGTAGTAGTAGTAGTAGTAGTAGTAGTAGTAGTAGTAGTAGTATTTATAATAGTATGAAAGTACCTGGAGTCTACAGTAGCAGCAGTAGTAGTAGTAGTAGTAGTAGTAGTAGTAGTAGTATTTATAATAGTATGAAAGTACCTGGAGTCTACAGTAGGAACAGTAGGAATAGTAGTATTAGTAGTAGTATAGATAATAATAGTAGTATATAAAAGTACCCGGAGTCTATAATAGCAGTAGTAGTAGTAGTAGTATTTATAGTAGTATATAAATAGTACCTGGAGTCTTCAGTAGCAGCAGTAGTAGAAGTAGTAGTATTGATAGTAGTAGTAGTTGTAGTACTAGTAATAAAAGTACCTGGAGTCTACAGTAGTAGTAGTAGTAGTAATATTAGTAGTAGTATAAATAATAATAGTAGTATATAAAAATACCTGGAGTCTCCAATAACAGCAGTAGTAGAAATAGTAGTATTGATAGTAAAAGTAGTAGTATTGATAATAGTAGTAGTAGTAGTAGTAGTAGTAGTAGTAGTAGTAGTAGTACTAGTAATAAAAGTACCTGGAGTCTACAGTAGTAGTAGTAGTATAAATAATAATAGTAGTATATAAAAGTACCCGGAGTCTATAATAGCAGAAGTAGTAGTAGTAGTATTTATAGTAGTAGCAGTAACCTTAAGTACCTAGAGTCTACAGTAGTAGTAGTAGTAGTAGTAGTAGTAGTAGTAGCAGTAGCAGTAGTAGTAGTAGTAAGTACCTGGAGTCAAAAGCAGCAGCAGCAGTAGTAGTGGTAGTTGTAGTACTAGTAGTAAAAGTACCTGGATTCTACAGTAGCAGTAGTTGTACTAGTAGTAGTAGTATTTATAGTAGTATGTATAGTAGTAGTAGTAGTAGTAGTAGTAGTAGTAGTAGTAGTAGTAGTAGCAGTAGTAGAGCAGTAGTAGTAGTAGTATTTATAGTAATATATAAAAGTACCTCGAGGACAGAGCGTGTAAAAACAGACAGGTGCAGTACTAGTGTTTGTCCACAAGATGGTGCTGAAATGTAGCGCACCACACCAGACACGGAGGTGCAGCTTTAACCGTATTTCTAGCCCGATTTCACTCACAAAAATAAAATAATAATAAATTCTACAAAACATTTAAAAAAATATAAATTATTGTTGAAAATCGTGGAACTATGAGCCTAAAGTCGAACACAACAAACCGACATCACTGGATCAACAGTCACATTTAAAGCTGCACTGTGTCACTTTTAAATCGTTTTCTCCGTGAAGATGTTACTGCCTTGTCTGGAATGTTCCACAGTACGGCATTAAACCTTTATATCTTAACGGAGACCAAACCAGACCAAGTTACGAGTCAGATCTGTGGAGAGGCGACCCCGCTCACAGTCACAATCTCTCCTTTTTCTAGTTCATTTTTTGAGCTATAAAACCACCTTGACGGAGTGAATAAACGCAAAGTGGAGCTGTTTAATGTCACACTGCGGAACATTCCGGGCAGAGCAGCGACGTCTCCATGGAAACGAGAAGCCAGAAAAGTTACGCGACGCAGCTTTAGGCGACTCAACACGAAACAAAAGCCAGTAAAAGTCATTTTGTGGAGCAGTTTTACGGTGAAGCAACGTCCCGTTTTAGACCAGGAGGTGTGACGTGTCTTGCCCAACGACACAACGGTATTTAACATTTAACAGCAGCGGGAACTGAACCATCAACCCCGCAGAGACGAGGAGACACGTGTTTGTCTCGGATCCGTCTGTTCCTCTTCACATGTTCATAAATAAAACACGACTAATAAAACGTGGATCTGACGTTTGGAAACTGTTCTGGCTTCAGTTCAGCTGCTCCCTCCCTCTTTTCATCCATCTCTCCATCCATCTCTCCATCCATCTCTCCATCCCTCTCTCTCTCTCTCCATCCATCCATCTCTCCATCCATCTCTCCATCCCTCATCTCTCTCTCTCTCCCTCCCTCCTCCCTCCCTCCCTCCTCTCTCCCTCCCTCCCTCCCTCCCTCCATCCATCTCTCTCTCTCCATCCATCTCTCCATCCCTCATCTCTCTCTCTCTCTCTCTCTCTCTCTCCATCCATCTCTCCATCCCTCATCTCTCTCTCTCTC